GGCCTACAAGGTTAAACAGCAGGCCTGAGGGTGGTCTGTGGAGGTCTGACTCTGTCCCCCTTCCTTTCTGAGACTCATTGTTAAGGATTTGTGTAATCTTGATTCATTTGTTGTTACTCTTGGTAGGTGTCCTGGAATCCTTTCTAATACATAGCAGCCCTACGTACAACAGAACGAAACACTGCCTGGTCCTGCACTGTCCTCCCAATCCTTGCTGAGTATGAGCCCGTTGTTGTAGCTTGTGTCAGTTCATCTTGTTGAGGGCCTTCCAATTTCTCATGGACCCCTACTTTTCCAGCTGGTCCCTACTGATAACATATCCAAAGTATATGAGACGAACTCTTACCATCTTAGCTTGTAAGGCGCATCCTGGCGATATTTCTTTCAAGAGAGATTTATTTATTCTTCTGGCAGGGCAGTTCTACACCTTGCTTCAGAGGTGTCAGTTCTTCTTCAGTCTTCATTATTCATTGCGCAGCTCTCACATGCACATGAGGCTGTTGAAAACACCATGGCTTGGATCAAGTGCACCTTAATCCTCAAGATGACATCTTGGCTCTTTAGCACTTTCAATAGGCCTTCTGCGGCATATTTGCCCAGTGCATTGCGTTGTTTGATTTCTTGACTGCTGCTTCCATAGGTGTTGATTGTGGGTCCAAGTCAAATGAAATCTTCACAACTTCCATTTTTTTTCTCTTTATCGTATCGTTACTTACTGGTCCAGTTGTGAGGATTTTTGTCTTCTTTTATGTTGAGTTATAATCTGTACTGAAGGCTGTACTGTATTCTCTGATCTTTATCAGTAACTGTTTCAAGTCTTTTTCACTTTCTGCAAACAAGGTTGTGTCATCTGCATATCACAGGTTGTTAATGAGTCTTCCTCGGATCCTAATGCCAGGTTCTTCGTATAGTCCAGCTTCTCGGATTCTTTGCTCAGCACACAGATTGAGTAAGTATGGTGAGAGGATATAATGTGTACCCTTTCTGATTTTAAACTACACAGTATCCCCTTGTTCTATGTGAATGACTGCCTGTTGGTCTGTGTGGAGGTTCCAGGTAAGCATAATTAAGTGTTCACAGTATTTCTCATAATCTGTTATGATCCACACAGTCCAATTCCTTTGCATTGTCAATAAAACAGAGGTAAACGTCTTTCTGGTATTCTGTGCTCTGAGCCAAGATCCATCTGACATCAGCTATGATAACTCTCATTCCATGTCCTCTTCTGAATCCAGCTTGAAATTCTGGCAGTTCCTGTTGATGGCCTACTGCAACTTTTTGAGATTCAGCAAAATTTCACTTGTGTGTGGTATTAATGATACTGTTTGATAATTTCTACATTCTGTTGAATCAGCTTTCTTTGGAATGGGCACAAATACCAGTCTCCTCCAGCTGGTTGGCCAAGTAGCTGTCTTCCAAATTTCCTGGCATAAAAGTGTGAGCATCTCCAGTGCTGCATCCTCTTGTTGAAACATCTCATGGCTATTCCGTCAATTCTTGGAGCCTTGCTATTGGCCAGTTCCTTCAGGGCAGCTTGGGCTTTTTCCTTTAATACTTTTGGTTCTTGATCATATGCTACCTCCTGAATAGTTGAACATTAACCAATACCTTTTGGTACAATGACTCTGTGTATTTCTTCCATGTTCTTTTTGATGTTTCCTGCATTATTCAATATTTGCCCATAGAATTCAATATTGCAACTTGACACTGAATTTTTTAAAAATTCAGCTTCAGAAATGCTGAGGCTGTTCTTCCCTTTTGTTTTTCTAACTCCAGATCTTGGCATATTTCAATATAATACTTTGTCTTCTTGAGGTACCCTTTGGAATCTTCTGTTCAGGTCTTTCACTTCATCATTTCTTCCCTTTGTTTCAAGCACTCTGCATTCAATAGCAAGTTTCAGAGTTACTTCTGACATCCATTTTGATCTTTTCTTTCCTGGTTTTTAATGACCTCTTGCTTTCTTCATGTATGATGTCTGTGATGTTGTTCAACACTCCTCTGGTCATTACGGTTCAGTGCTTCACATCTGTTCTTGATGTGGTTTCTGAATTCAGGTGGAATATGATTAGGGTCATACTTTGGCTCTTCTGGACTTGTTTTGGTTTATTTTCTTCAGCTTCAGCTTGAACTTGACTGAAAGCAGTTGATGGGTCTATTCCCTTGTAAGCCCCTGGCTTTTCTCTGAGTGATGATATTGAGTTCTCCATAGTCTCTTTACACAGAAGTAGTTGATTTAATTTCTTTGTATTCCATCCAGAGAGGTCCATGCTATTATCCCATTTATGTTGTTGAAAACAAGTATTTGTAATGAATAAATCGTTGTTTCTATCAGCAAGGCCATATTTTCTAAGTATCAATCCTTCTTTGTTTCTACCTTTTGCATTCTAGTCACCAGTAATTATCCATGCATCCTGATTGCATGTTTGATCAATTTCAGACTGCAGAAGGTGATAAAGTTCTTCAAGTTTGTCATCTTTGCTTTTAGTGGTTGGTGTGTAAATTTAAATAATAGTAGTATTAACTGGTCTTGTAGATATTTGAATATTACCCTATCACTCATGGTGTTGTACTTAAGATAGATCTTGAAATGTCCTTTTTGAAGATGAAGGTGATGCCATTCTTCTTTAATTTGTCATTCCTGGCACAGTATACTGTATTATCGTACAATTCAAAATGGACAACATAAGCATAGCAAAATGGTCTTAAGCATGACAACATAATGATTCAAAATGGTCGACAGCATGACACTCTTAAAACAACACAACACAAAAGAAAGCTACATACACACACATACGTATACACACATATACACAAGTAGCTATGCAATTCTCTGCTGTTCCAGCCAGGTTACCCATCTTAAAATTAATGGAGATTTCCTCAAACCCAGTTTGATTTCTGTTGAACCCAATTCAAGTATACAGCTGCCTCCCTTGGATCTAGTCTGAGAGTCCTTGCCCTAAAACCAGGGCAAACACTCAAATACAATTAACTGACATCTCCCTCTAATTGACACTTTCTTTTGATCTCAGCTTGACATCTGCTGTAGCCATTCCAAACACTGTATTTAAAATAAGGCAGATGGTCAACTCCCTGTAATACCTGAGCAACAAATAGACATTCCCTAAAGTGGAAAGAAAAGGACACAGCACAGGTGAACCCAATTCCCCCAAAAAGACAACGTGAAAGGGTAACTTAAATCAAGGAAGGGTGTCCATAACTGCTCGCATATAAACTCAATTCAACAAGAGAAGGAGAACTGGAACCCACGGGAGTTTTCCAAGTTCCCCACCCGCAGCAAGGGAACGGTTGCACACATGGTAGCAGAGTGGCTAAAGCACTTGACTGCTAACCAGAAGGCTGGCGGTTCAAACCCACCAGCCACTCCTCGGAAGGAAGGTTGGGCAATCCTACTTCCGTAGTGATACTGCCTCGGAAACCCAAGGAGGGGTCGCTATGAGTCGGGGCCAACTCGACAGCACATAACAACAACAACAACAACATATGTTTGCACTCTCACCATGAAGTGCAGCCCTCAGCCAGGCAACCTTTAGCAGAATGGTCCCAGGTTTTCTGATTTCTGCTTGTTATGCCCAACGTAAGGCTGGAAGTTCAAACCCACCAGCCACTCCTCAGAAGGAAGGTTGGGCAATCTACTTCCGTAGTGATACCACCTCAGAAACCCAAGGAGGGGTCGCTATGAGTCCGGCTGACTTGACAGCACATAACAACAACAACAACAACATACCCAGCTTAAAAGTAATCAAAACTCAATGAAATCAAAACATAGGGTTACTTCTGAGCAGTTTCTGTTTGCATACTAGGAGACCATTTTCATTCCTGAGAAAGTAAATGGCTTGAAGAAAGTAGTTACAATGAGGCTTATAAAGAGAAGTTGAGGGAGTAATACAGAAGATAGACCATTGGCTAATCTTAACATGGTTGATTGCGCCCTGCCTGCCCCCTTTACTGAGATCAATGGATATCCCATTACAGAGGTGCCCCTCCTCCACCCAGCCATATCTTTTGAAATTCATATTTTATAAGGGAGCCTGGCTTCTAATAGGAAAGAAAGCACTTGCAACTTTGGGTTAAAGAAAAGCTACTAGTGGATTGTTTTCTTCAGGGATTTCTTTACAGTGAATAGCTGGTATCATGGGTAAGAAAACCACAAAATCAATGCAAGATGGCTGCTATCAGTATGTGTCTTTGACATGTTCTGGTCTTAGAATCTCTTTCAGCTCTCCTAATTTTCAGAACTATGTTAAAAATATTCACTTTAAGGGATCGGAGTAGGAGATTCTGGAGAGAGTGGGAGAAAAATGTGGAACAAAACTGAAAACCATTAAAAAGACCAAACAAAAAAATGAATGTGTCGCCCTGCCGTCAAGTTGAATCTGACTCATAGCGAGCCCTCCTTGGGTTTCTCAAAGGATACCACTATGGAAATATATTGCCCAACCTTCCTTCCAGGAGTGACTGGTGGGTTTGAACTGCCAGCCTTCTGGTTAACAGTCAAGTGCCTTAGGCACCAAAAAGACCAGGCTTACTGATTTGGTAGAGACTGGTGAAACCCTCTAGACTGTGGCTCCTAGCCACCCTTGGGACCTGGAATTGAACTCACTCCTGTGGCTTCCAGTCAAACAATAGGCCTCCATGGAGAGCAGTTGCATGAGGTAGGTACACTCCTTAGGAACTGTCAACATCGGGAGATCCGAAGGGCATCATTTGCATGGGGAGATAGCTCAGAGGGCAGGAACGCATAGGAAAGGACACAGGGACAAGGTAACGCAGGGAGGAGGGAAGTGGGAAGAGAGCTGTTAACATGGGGATTGCAGTCTGTGTCATGAAACAAAATGTATATAAACTGTTGAATGGAAAACGAATTTGCTCTTTAAACTTTCACCAAAATCATAATTAAAAAAAAAATTAAAAAATGTCCAATTCAAAATAAAATTGCCCTTGATTTTAAGTAATTTTTTTTGTTTTTAATTTCCAAGTATATGAGCAATGTGGATTCGTGGTGCAAAGCCTGTGGTGAGGTTGACCTGCCCTCCGAGCTACAGGACCTGGAAGATGCCATTCATCACCACCAGGGGATATATGAGCACATCACTCTTGCATATTCGGAGGTAAGTGACCAGTTTTTACTTTAACTGAAAGGCAGCATTATTTTTGTGTTAAAAGCACCAAAAGCTGGAAAAATCAAGGTATTAGTTAGCTCAGAAAACCTTTAATTAAATTGCAGTTGAATTGTAATTTTTGAAATTGTATGCCCGCATGTGCATGCCTGCATGTGTACACGTGTGTGTGTGTGTGTGTGTGTGTGTGTAGGGTAGCAGATGAAGCAGGATGGTGGGTACTGAGCACACTTCTCATGCCTCCGTAACATCTGTGGATTCCTTTTAGAATACTTACGTTTTTAAGCTGATGAAAGACAGTCCTCAGTGCCAGGCTTCTTGTCCACATGCGCTTCACCACCACACCTCTAGGTGCCATTAGTCAGTTTCATCTCCTGGCAACCCCGTGTGTATCAGAGTAGAACAGTGTTCCATGGGGTTTTCAGAGGCTAGATTTTTAGAAGTAGATCACCAGCACTTCTTTCTGAGGTGTCTCTGGGTAGACTTGAACCCCCAGCCTTTTGGGTAGCAGCTGACCACTGGTCACCCAGAGACTCTTCTGCGTGTGCTCAGGAAATGGGCCTTGTGTGTGCTGTTCATGCTGCAAGCTCAGCTGAGTCTGCCTGATGAAGCTGTTGAGAAAAGGAACTCCTCGCTGCAGCCTGTGTCCTGAGATGGCCTTTGCATAGACCACACACCCTTTTCTCAAGTATATACAGGTGGTTTTTTTTTTAAATTTCATTGTGATGAAAACATGCACCCACATTCACCAACGTAACAACTTCCACATTTACAGCTCAGGGACATTTTTCATGTTGTGACACCATAATTGCTGTCCTTTTCCAAAATATTCGACCACCATTGGCATAAACTTAATGCCCCCCAGACAAAGGCTTCCCCTTTCCTCCTCCCTCCTGCCCCTGGTAGCCAATGATGATTTTTAGTTTATATATATATATATATATATATATTGTTTTGTTTAGTTTTCAGCCTATCTAGAAATTTTCCCTCCTCTCTCCTCTATCTCTGGTAGCCAACAAAGAAAGTTTCCTTCCATGTATAAATCTTTCCTTGACTTTTTACAATAGTAGACTAACACAATATTTGTTCTTCTGTGATTGACTTATTTCACCCAGCACAATGTCCTCCAAGTTCATCCACATTATACTCTGTTTTGCAGATTTTGCATTATTCTTTAGGGTTGCATAGTATTCCGTTGTGTGTATTATATACTGCAGTTTGGTTTTCCATTCCTCTGTTGATGGACACTTAGGTTGTTTCATTCTCTCAGGGATATAAACTTTCAGAAATCTAAGTGTAGTTTCTTCATTATTTTAGGATAAGTTATTTTCATTTGTACCTGTTTTATTTCATACCACCTTCTTAGGTGCCAGGCAGTGGTCTAAAGACATTACATAGCTTATTAAATGCTCACAACACCCTGCAGGCACATAGTATCATTGTCCATATTGTTGTAAACAAGGAAACTGAGGCACAGGGATTGAGTGACTTTTAAGGGTGCGGTGTAGTAAATTACATGGCATAACTTTTCTAGCCATAGTCTGGGTAACTCTCACTTTGCCTGTGAGTAACTGAGTACCTGATTGTTAAAGTTATCCACCTGGTATATTTCTGTTGGAGCAGCATGAAGCCATCTTTTGGGAAGTTCACTCTCTCTCAGGTGTGTGGAATTCTGATGTTGGGATTGGTTAGTTTTGCCACTCTGCCAGGCTCAAAAGGAGCCCTCCTAGAGGCAGAAGGAGTCTCTCTGACTGCTGGCTGAGGGAGACGCACTGTTTAAAGAGATGTGCTGCTTAGAGTGAGACGTGAGAGGGATGCGAGAGACACACACTACCAAGAGAGAGGCATGCTGCTGAGAGAGACTGAGAAAGGGGCCTGGCTGCTGAGAGAGATGGCCAGCTTACAGAGACTGAGAGTGTTCCTGAACATGAATTGTAGCTTATTGCTTCCCTAATAAACCCCATAATCTGTGAGTTCCGTGTGGCCACTACAGCGAATTACTGAACTCAGCAGACAGGTGGTGGGTGCCACAGGATGGACAGTTGGTGTCAAGTTTGGCAAGAGGGCTGGAGGGTGGCAGCATGTCTGGCTTTGTAAGAACAGGCTGGGGGCTGCTGATGGTGATTTTGTTCTCCTCTTGTGTACTTAGAGGAGGTCAGCAGATGCTGCCTCCTTGTCCCTTTAGCAAAGGGTCAACAGCTGCAGGAGGCTATGGGGAAATGCATCCATGCTCTCTGTCTTCAGAAGCCACATGCTCGGTACCCACTCTGTTGTCTCTCTGCATGTTCGCTGTGGTAAGGTAGTGACTACAGATGTGTTGATGAATATCACCCTTGTCCACATCTTAGTCATCTGGCCCTTCAGACTAGTCTGTCTTTATGCTCATGGATAATTAAATGCTTGGAGATGAGGGGTGTGGGTAATGATTAAGGCATTTGACTGCTAACCAGAAGGCTGGTGGTTCAAACCCACTCTTTGGAAAGATGGTTGGGCTATCTACTTCTGTAGAGATACTGCCTTGGAAACCCAAAGAGAGGTCACTATGAGTTGGATTCAGCGGGATAGCAGTGAGTTTGGTTTGCTTTGGTTTTACTTTTACTCCATTCCCTGTTAACATTAAGCATCTGTGGTATCATAGGAGGCACTGGGCAGCACAAATGGGTAAGCCCTGGACTATTAACTGAAAGACTGGCAGTTCAAACCCACCCAGAGATACCTTGGAAGTAAGGCCTAGGAGTGGGCTTCAGAAAGGTCACAGCCTTACAAACCTTAGGGAGCACTGTTCTGCTCAAACTTACACGGGGCCACCGTGAGTCAGAATCCACTTGACAGCTAGCAACAGCAGCATAATAACATGGTAGGTGAATACCAATGGTTACTTTGGGGTTTCAAAAAGAAGTGTTTGCGAGCACCTTGCACAGGGCTGGGCACGTAATAGACATTTAGTAAACACATTCTGGATTTAAATCTGACTCCTCCTTGATTTGAACCACACCCAGACTTCACTTATAAAAGTTTTAGGGAAGAAATTGGGTGTTCGTTTCCAGTCTGGCACTTCTTGTGCTTTACCAAGCAGTTGTCACTCCTCTGTCCTTGGGCCAAGGCCACCTGGTCCCTTTGTGTCCGTGGGTGAATAAAGTGGGTGTGTGAAGTGCACTGCTGTCTTTGCTTCAAGATGTGCTCAGACCTCCTTCTTCCCGGGATGCTTGACGGCTACACGTTTCTTTCTCCAGCCTTCTTTGTGCCTCCTCGTCGCTAGCACTGTCACCTATCACCCATGGAAGTAAAAAAATCATCAGCTCTGTATTGTGTTTCTTAATTTTATATCCAGTGTTTGCTACTTTGGCGCTCTGGTCTATTTAGGAACTACTTAAATACATGATAGCCCTTTTTATAGTAAAACTGAAGTTGAACACATTTGTAATTTCTGGTCACACTGATTCATGGGGCTTATGTGAGTTCCAGAAATCGATCACTTCTTTCCCCCTGTTTACCATGTGTGCACCGTCTGAAAATGAAGGGCCCTGTTAGCTTCCCATGTAAAGGAGCCATCACTTATCTGCTTAGATTGATGATTTCTATTGAGTGTGTTTTGAGTGCAGTGATTGGCTTGAATCCAGCCATCTGTGAGCCCTTGCCAGGCCAGTGTCAGGGAGAAAGCCCTCATTCATACCATGCCTGGAAGGAGTGAGGTTACATCTCTGCCTAGGGGGCCAACAGAGAGAGTGCATGACTTTCATTAACTTGACCTGACCAGTGTGGTCCTCCAGCTGAACTGGCCAGTCCAGCCTCCCAGTTGTTCTTGGTTCTTGTAGCTAAGCTCCAGATCCTCTAATTGTTACCGCTGCTTTCTGTCAGAATCGGGCATCATGACATGGGAACCTGTGTTTACCTAGATTGTGGTCTTGTTCGATTTTAAACTGGTACTAATCATTTAAAATACATTGCTGAGCAGTGAGCAGCTTTGCAGGCCGAGGTCTTACACTACAGCTTGTAGCCTGGACACATTCACATCTGAGCCAAATACCCAAGGAGACAGGCATGCAAACTGGGTTAGCTGAGGAGATGCAGCAGAACAGGGTGAGTTTCTTTGCCTTTTCAATTTTTAAGATTTTGTAACAGTTTCAAACCTACAGAGCAGTAGTGAGGATGGCTGAGAGAATTCCGCATTCCTTTTACTTGCATTTTCCTGTTTGTAATGTTTTCTCATGTTTGCTCTGGCCGCTCTCCCTCCCCACCTTTCTCCAGTCAGTAGGTGGTCATTGATGCAACACGTCTGTCCGTGTGTGTTGTTTTTTCCCAGCTGTTCCAGCAATGCCTTTATTCCCTCTTTGGTCTAGCATGCCATCCGGCAACATGCACGACTTGTAGCTGTCCCATGCTATTGGTCTTCAAAATGGAGTGTTCTGTGGTCTTTGCCCACTGTTCCTGCCTTTGGCAGTCTTAGAGAGAACACTGCTTCTTGCTCTGTAGGACAACCTCATCCTCCTGGGTCCATTGATTTTCCTTATGGCCTGACCTGTGTTCTTGGCAGGTGAGCTGCAGCGATCACTCTGGATCCTCTCCACGGGCCAGGTCAGGGCCGCACGCTGACCCGTCTACCACCACCAGTGATGTTGACCTTGATCTCTTTGTCTGGTTGGTGTTTGCCGGGTTCCTTCATATAAAGTCACCATTTTTAAAGTTTTCCTTGGATTAGCATTGTCTGGGGAGATAGTGATAGAACTGGCTCCAAAGTCTGTTCATTAGTGCAGGCTTCTCCCCAGCGTTAGCATCTGCAGATGATTCCTGTCCATCCCAACTGCCCCTGGGAAGCTCTCTCGGAGCATCTTTCCACCACTGCTTCTGTGCTTTGTTGGCCTTCTACCACCAAAACCCCCCCCCCAAAACAAAAAACAACTCCCTGCTGTCAAGTCGGTCCCGACTCATAGCAGCCCCTCCCTGGGTTTCCAAGGCAGTATCTCTACGGAAGTGGATTGCCGTATCTACCA